CATTAGTTGCAGTCATTTTCAGCCGAGTTCTGATCTATGTGCGAATATAAAGTACATATTTTTTTGTTATTTTTCAAATTTTTGTGTCCTTACCCATAGCTGCTATTATGTACTTTCACCTCGACTTACACCTATTTTCATTTTCTCAGTATCTTTAGCATTTTTTGTTGATTTACATATAAAAAATTTCAACCCATTCCGTCAATCGTTTTAGTAGTTGACGGACCGACAGCAGCGCCACCTACCGCCTCCAATTGTATTTTTAAATCATCCAGGAAACCATCGAAATACCCAAATAAAATGTATGTCATGTGAAAAAGATAAGTATGGAAGAATAATTCTTACTACCCGTTGTCCTATTAGCCGTTTTCCCGTAGGAATGAAGCATATTCCCGCGGTAAAAAATAGGCTATGTTCATCAAGGATAATGTCGGCTTCTAATGGTGAAATAATTTTTCAAATGCGTCCAATACTTTCCCAGCCTATTCAATACAAACAAACAAATCTTTCCTCTTTACAGGGCGATTCATGAGGAGACTCACTTAGCCAAATTGGTCATAGAGCGCATTTTTGGTATATCTCTCGCTCCAGCAAATTTCAGGATCCTTACCTAACGATTACGTAAGATACAGGGGTGTTTCCATTAGAAGTGGGTCACACTGTATATACATCAACTCATAACATGATATTACATAATATCAGGATAGATAACTATTTTTTTTGTTAATTACTCAAAAGTGCGAAAAAACTCAGGTGGTGATTTCTTGTAATATGTTTTGAAAAAAGTGTCTATCAATATTCATCCTAACTTGCTTCGTTTTCAACATACCAGGGTATCGTTTTCATAAAAAAAATGTTTTTGTTTATTAATTACTCAAAAGTATTTTTGTCAATTTTGATGAAATTTGTTGGTATCGTTAATTATTGTAGGATCCAGCTTTTTTTGTATTAATTAGATTGAAAATACTAATGCCAGTGGCGTCACAGTCTCACAGTGGGTTAACTTAGACATATTTATTGTGAAAATCATGGAAATACAACTAACTGTCTTGTCAACTGTTACTTTCGTATTTCCCTCAGTTTTTAAGGAAGCAATAAAAGTTTGATTTGACTCCAAGTTTTGATGTGGGTGATCTCAAGACACCCACTGAGATTACCCAATAACCTCGACGAGTAATATTCTGAAATGTTGAGATATTGAATCACCAACCAGCCTGAATTTTGCCACCATGAAAGCTCATATGAAAATCAGGCAAGTTAGAACATATGTTTTTATGCATTTTTTTCCTCAAAATATTACAAGAAATCACCTCTGATTTTTTTTGCTCTTATTTATTCACACCCTGTATAAACTTGCAAACATTCATAATTTTTTTCCAGTAGGGGTCTTAGCTCAAGTTTCCAGAGGTGAATTCTTGCCTAACAGAATCAGGTAACCTATAAATGTGTGAAGAGAACAAGACGTTAGGTCGCGTAAAGCAGGCCCTAGAGAAATAACTTGTCGAATATCAGGAAAATTCTCGGAAAATTTGCTACTTTGACAGAGAAATATCGCCATCCTCTGGATTTTTCTTAAAAAAAAATACAGAGAACATGCTATTTACTTCTTTTCCACCCTAAAAATCGATGAATATTCGGATATCAGTCATTATGAATTGGGAGCAAATATCTTACTGTGAATTTTTTCGTAAAAAAAAGGGCTGGCCCATTGTACCTCATCCTGAATTTGTCGCTACTTTTACCGTATCCGGCCCAGGATTCATATACAGTGTGTCCCAAGAGGAGGATTTCTATCATGGGGATCTCGGAAATGGTTTCTCTGAAATGAAACGTCGTACGTAAAAACTCTCTACGCTGTTTTGTAGAGCTTAGAAAGTGGCAATGATGAAGTGTCATTTGTTTTCCTATATCCCTTTGAATAACGTCAGAAGGATATTCAAACGAAATCAGCAAATTTCAGTTTCTCAGGCTTATCTCCAGAACTACTCGAAATTTGAAAATTTTTTCTTTCCAGCCTTGTGCTCACATAAACACTAGCCAAAAATATGCATTCTTCAATGAATAAAGGAAGGCGTTGTACCAGTCTAAGGCGATTTACCCTGTTTCTAGTAGATGTTAATCTTCTGCATAAATAATCTAGGCACGACTATAGATACTAAATTAAATTTTGAAGCCCATACGACAAGATCAAAAAAAGAAGCAATGGAACAATCAAAACATTTCAGAGCCTTGACATACCAAAATCAAGGAATGAATACTGCTACAGCTTGCAAGATATACAAAATGATCTGTCGCTCGGTACTGGAATACGGACATATTATGATTTCTTAATAATTGCACGAAACCAAGGCAGCGAAAGTGGGGAAAAGGAGCTGTCTAAGAACCATCACCAGAATAAGGCACCCAGCAAATCCTCTCCACAACCCCTGCAACATTCTTCTCTATCAACAAACTAAAATAGAACCCATTTCCACCCGAATCACCAGGCTCACAAAAAAGTTTGCAGACAAACAAGAAAATATCACCCTTTTATAGCCCCTTATTCACCAAACCAATCCATTAATGCCCACAAAACGAAAATATCCAGAACTCAGCTTATATGATTCACTCTCCAGATATCGAACCAATAGATATACATTATATATAATAATATATGCACTTTTTTCTCATTTAAATTTGTAAAATCACTTCAAATACAATTTTTAAATACATAATAATTTTGTATATACTGGCAGGAAGACTTTGGTTGTTAGCCATTTGGCATAATATATTTTATGCACTAGCGGGCCGTAAAGTGCAATTTATCGCCCGGTTTTGCGGGCGTTAAGTTGCACTTTACCGCCCGCGGGCTCATTATGGCCCACGGGCCGTAAAGTGCACTTTACCGCCCGCTGTTCTCAGTTTCCTTATGTCCACATATCAATTCATGAAAAACATATGATCATTTTTCAAAATTTTTCGGGATTCGTTCTCCTCGTGAATTGAACATTGCACCTCCTCGATTTAACCTTCATACAGTATTTGAATGCCTATATATTGTCCACGAGTCAATAGATTCAGATCAATGAAGGAAAACTCTTCTTACCAACATTTATTTATTAATTGACAATTCTTTCAATATCAAATTATGTCATAAAACTGAACATTAAAATTTTATGTTAATAATACAGTTGGTACAGCTATTAATGCTGAGATTTGGATATTCATTTTTTTCTTGCAGACAATTATTGGAACTTCTTGGGAGCTGCTGCCTAGTATCGGCATTGCTACGAGAACAATGAGTAGTGATAATTTTAGAAGTCGATGGTTGGTTTGAATGATCATCTGGTATCATTCCGATATCATCGCTGGCAATTTTTTTAGCAATATTGATTTTATTTGAAATTGATTCTTCGATATAGCTTTCAGCTACTGTAGTTGATTTCCATCCAGCATGTCTTTTGATATTGGTGATACCTACCCCCGCATCAGCCAATAAAGTGGCTGAAGAACGCCTGAAACAATGACCGGTATATTCTTTTGGGCTCGGTAGCTTCAAAAATGTTGCAATTTTCGAAGGGATCTGACCGAAAATATTCTTTCCAACAACTTGTTTAGTACATTTGTTGTTCTTATAGAATACAAAAAACCGCCTATGTTCAGTATCTGCGGGTCGTAGACTAGCGTATTTCCTATAAATACCCAGATAATTAACTGGTTGATGGTTTTGAGTATCGATGACTGTAAATGTTCGTTGAATTTTAGTTTTCGATTCTCTAATTGTAATCAATAAAGCATCAGTTAAATCTTGAATGTCATCAACCATAAGATTCGTTAATTCTTCTCTGCGACAGGCACCATGTATTCCAAATATAAGTGCAACCTATAAATGAATCAATCATCAGTTTTGAAATTTCTCAAAGAATAAATTAGGTGGATCATACCTTGATCATTAAATATTCGTCATCTGGAGATTTTTTCAAAAAGAGTTCAATTTCATTCCTCTTCAATATTTTAGACTTCTTCGGCTTATATCCATCATTCTTTCTTTTAAAAAATGCTATCAATCTTGGGTACTTGCTCATGTCGGTATTATTATGCAAATTCAGAGTTGATTTCAACATCGAATAGTAAGACCACAAAGAGGAGGGTTTACGATCCTTAGATTTCTCAAAAAAATATGCTGCTAGTAATACATCTTCTGTGATCATCTTCACATTATTTTCATCACCCCATCTGATAAATTCATCATGCGTCTTTTCATATAATTTCTTTGACTTTGCCGGTAGTAATTCGAGCTTTGCATTTTCCGCTGATTCTAATATATCCAGCGGTATCTGATAAACTTCTTCTTTATCCGATTCCATAATCTCGCTTGGTCTCGCTATTATTGTTGTCACTAATTTTAACTTTTCAGTCAAAGAATGACAATTCAGCTTGTTTATTAGATGTATTGCTATAGACAACAACCATCAGCTTGCTTGACAACGTCAAAATTAGGTAGGTATATATACTGGGTATGCATATTGTGAAATTCTGAAGAATGAACCTCTTCTAGAGATGAAAGTGTTTAACTATTACGATAATTGCAATATTCGTTCGATAATTTTTATATGTAAATCATCCATGAACATTACGCTTTCCTTGATTACTGAATTTATACGAAACAAATTAAATTCGGGGGAATATTAGTTTATCGAAATCTGTAGTCATTACTTTTGGGAAAATAAACCACTAGTGCATAAAATTTTGTATGTATCACGTGCGTGAAATGCGTTTATGGCCTTCAGCGTGTAATGGCCCTCGGCTAGCGCCATCGGGCCATTATTCACGCCACAGGCCATAAACGCCTACTTTACGCCCTTGATACATAAATAACTATTTTTATTTTATGTCCAATAAAGTTTATTTTCTTCTTCTCCTGCATAATTGAGAATTTGTTGACTCTTTATGGTGTCTATGTAGGGTGTATTATTCGATTTATGCATAAGGCAAGCCAGTACAGCTTGATTTTACTGTAGGTAACTATGTAGCTGATCTCGGAGCGATGGTAGTAACCGGCCTCGGTGGAAATCCGGTCACCACTCTCAGCAAGCAGATCGACATGGAACTGCATAGAATACGTCAAAAGTGCCCACTGTACCAGTCCACCGGAGTCACGGTGGACAAAGACAAGGACGAGATGGTCGAAAGAGAGTTCAACCGTCTCCTGGAAGCCACTTCGTATTTGTCACATCAACTGGATTTCAATTATGCTGGCAACAAACCTGTGAGTTTAGGACAAGCCTTGGAATGGGTCATCAAGCTACAGGTGAAAAAAACAACGATTAGATTAAAATAATGAAAGGGTAGTAATGCTATCAAATCAAATGAAATTGTGTTTTTCCTAGAATTCTCATAAAACATACTCTTCAATGCAATCTACAAATTATTCAAAAAACTGTGGTCATCATTGAGAGAAATGGAACCTGGATAATATTATTTATAATTTATGATGATATTTGGTGTACTACTACTAGTACAACTAATTTTGTTAGTTTTTCTGATGACATTTTCAGATAAATAGTCTTCCTTCATACCATATAATATAATTGGTGGTATTTAAGATCTGTTCTATAATTTGGTTTTCCTCCAATCTCTTTTTTATGAGTTATTATTAGGAATATGTTTTTCAATTCTCTTATTTTTTCTTATATTCACATCAGAAAGATTTTCCACATTTATCTGTACATACATACATACATACCTACACCCATACATACATACATACAAACATACATACATACATGCATGTTTCTGGGAGTTGACTGTGATGGCAGTAATATGTATTATCAACACCCATGTGTACGCGAATTAAATATCTGCTGACGATTTATTGATATTATTCATTTTAACAGGGATTCTAATTTTAAAACAGATGTTGGCCAAGAGAAACATGTACTTTTTATTATGAAACGAATTTTCGGCCTGTAGGAACATGTACTTTGGTATAATCAAGTTAATCACAAGGTTAATCACAACATGTCAAAAGTACTTATCAGTTCAAAATGTCTAGTCGTCAAAAATATTATTGTTCACGGCCAGAAATTTCTGATGAAGCATACAATGAAAATTCTGTTTGGAAATAAAAAAAAATATGACAAATTATGCAGGCATTTCGTGGGGTGGAGAATTACAAAATATATTACATCTTTCTCATGAAATGTGTTGTTATTTTATTTTATTATCCATTTATTGACCATAGAAAAAATAGTATATGCAATGATCATGTAATGGGCTATTTATACAATCGCCTCACCTCATGCTCATGTTCTAATACACTATGATCATTGAAAAATTCCATTTCTGCAGCCGCCAATGAAAACAATTTCTAATAACAAAATCGGTCATTGAAGTTGTTAGACAAAAATCTCAGTTTTTTTTCTCCTGTTATTCCGCATGTCTATCCATTGACATCTGTCTTCATTTCCTGGAACTTTCAGTCAAATAGCATGCTAAGTATTGGCATATCCAGTGTAACAACTTATTATGTATATATATTCAAAGAATGAATAATATTCACATAATCCTATTCAGTATGTTATATCATTTACCATCATATATTTTCTCTCACATACCTACATAAAAGAAAAAAAAGTATAGTAGTTTTATTTGACTTAGGTACAATACATTTTGCATGTGTTTGTGAAATAAAGCGACACTCCTAGTTCCTGTAAAACAATGTACTTTGTAATCCTTGAATACTAATATTCAGTGGAAAATATGACCTTCCTGACTGTATTTTTGAAATTTTTATGTTTTTCCAGGAAAAACACGTGAAGGAAAAACAAATTCAGCATTTGAAATCCGTCATAGCCTTACAAGAAAAACTCAAAATCAATCAAACTAACCTTGTCAATGTGAAAGAAAAGATGAAAGAAATAGATGCCAGTGTGAAAGAAATGGCGGAGATTGAAAAACGTAACATTCAAGAAGAGTTTGCTTACAGAAGTGGGCTGAAAGATCTGAGAGATTTGGCCAGGGAGTGGGATCAATTGCAGGAACAAGCAAAGGAGATTGAACGAAAATTAGAAGAATTGGATAACTCCAGACCAAGGTTGGTATTGTGACCCAAATGAACAATTAAATTGAGGTTTGTTCTGAGGATAGATTGTGGAACATTTTGATAGACCTTTTCATTTAGATGGCAAATGACTATCATTCTTGATGTCCAGGCACCACCTTCAGTAACGGCTAGAATATTTTTTATTGTATTGAAAACTGATATTTTGAGATTTTTTTTATTGATGAATCAACATGAATTCTAATGGAGGAAATGTCGGACTGTTGAAGTGTATTCTTAGATATTTTTTCACAACGAATCAGAACATTTTATGCAATATAAGGTAGGTCTAATCTATGAATCACATTGTTCTGAATGTGCAACTTGCTGAGCTCAGGAAATAATCTGTTGACTGCTATCAAATAGTTTTTGTTTCCCCGTTATTTTGTCCTCTGCAATTGAATCATCTCAATTCACATGAATAATAACGAAATTGAATAACCAAACATATAGTTAAAGAGTGTCAGCTTGTACAACATGCTTCCCTCCCTCATGAAATGTTGTCAAATACTGTGATACTGAAGTTCAGTATAAATAAGTATAAGTTGATTTTATAAACTGCATTTGTTCTGTACATTATTATGAAAATTCCGACTGGCTGTTGAGTAAGTATGTTGAATAGCTCAACCACAATTTATAGAAAGCCTACATCAGAATGTTATATTTGTTTTTCACTCTGGTATTACAATACGCGATTTCATTTTAACACGGATTTTCATCATGTCAATAATTTTAGCCAATGAGCGTTTTGTTGCATTATGTATGTTCAGCCTATAGAAACAACTACTTGGAGACGATCCAGTTGTCCGTTTCTACATACTTATATGACATTTCATTGCAATCAAAACTCGTCAAAAGTTTTAATAATTATGAAAATGTCGAGTAGTGAAGAATTGTCATGTACACCACTGGAAATATCTGAGAAAGCAGGTCTTGTCTGTGAAAGTTCAGTTCCAGTGAAATAAAATAAGATCTATGACAAATCATTTATGCAATTCATGGTCTGGAGAATTAAAGAAGATATTTTATTATTTTATTCCCATGCACAGATTCATATCTTCAACTTTATGGACACACTATTTCATATTGATGTTGATGTTGCATATGAACTATCTCCTGAATTATCAACATACATACAACATACATTCGCACAAAAAGATGCTGACATTGATGATCCCACAGTTTGGATTCCCCGAATCCTAAAATCAGTGAGACCGTCTTGTACCTAGCAGAAGCCATTTTGAAATCAGTTCTTAACTTAGTATGTTGAACATCCCTCCTATACAATTTGTCATATCATATTCGCATACAAAAAATGAAGTTTTCAAAAAGAGACTCCCAGCTATCAGAATTATTATTCCTGTGTAAATACGAATGCCACAGAAAATGAGAATATAAACTATCAAACTGACATTTCAAAATACGCAGTTTCATGTTTTTTTGAAGCGAAAATCTGAAGGATACATTGGAAAGAAGTCCTAAACATTTCAACCAATCAAGATCAGTAACTTCATTGAAGGAGATCCAGATGATGATTACTCAATGTTGAAGGTAAGCAAATCTTTATTTCCAAAGTCCTTTGAAAAGCCTTTTTGTTAATTTCTGTGTGCGACAATTATTTAGTGTATACGAATCATATGCCTTCACATAATTGATTTACATAAGGTCTCAGTAGCTCAGTCTACAAGTTGAGAGTTGAGCTAGAAAGCAGAGCATATAGATCGAGGTTCTAATACTGGATGAGTCGACCTATTTTTATTATAACTCTAGTGCAGTTTCTTGAAAGAAAAAGTTAACATAATTTATATATTTTTGTATATTGAATTGGAGCATTGCAATTAAATCCCATCTTTTTTACAGGTTTCCTAGATTATGGTAATTATGGAAGCATGCTGAAGACGTAAGTAACATAATTTAAAATGATGTGAAGGATCTCAATGAAATTTTACGGAACTGGAAATACTATTATATTTGCAAAAAGTACATGAATCTATGGCCAAATGATTATAGTACACCATCCTTCTTCCTCAACTATCACAAGGGTAGATGTACAGTGCAAAAAATTGGAATAAACAAATTTGGTGCTTCTGGAAAACGAAAAGCCACCTACCTTGAGCTTCCTAATCCAAATTTGTATTCCGGCTACTGCTTCTGCAGAACTCCAGCTACGATATTAGTTGATGCGGGGGACGACATCACCACATTGAAGAGACATGTTGGGTGAAAATCTATCGCTATCGCAGAATGCCACATTGATATATGAGTGCAGAATGAAGTTGATATCATCCGATATGATACTCAATTGGATGGAAAACAGAAACAATGCAATAAACAAATTATTTTGTAATATTGTACTGTGAATAATCTTTATATCAATAAAACAATTGATAATAATAATGAATTTTCATGCTTGTTAAGATGTTGAAATATGTTGAAATATAAATAGTTCGAAATTGATTCTTGTTTCAATTTTATTATTTATTTTTCGTAGGAAAAATAGTATATGCAACGATGATGTAATGGCTATTAATGTACTCGCATACTTAACTCGTGCTTCTGTAATAAAAGCCATCATTACATAATCGTTGCATAAAATACTATTATTGGTTCAATGAAATGTCCCTCTCAAACAGTATACGTTCCTAAATAAGTTTATTCTTACTTAGCAATAGGTACATCATTTCTAGTAAATTTGCTCTTAAAATAGCTTAAGTAGTGCTTTCATTCTCGCGCGCTCATTCTAATTTCACAGGGAAAGCAATCTAGAAGTTTCTTCAGACGGAATGAAATTTGATCAACTTAATTTTCATAACCGTGACTTGAAGTAAAAAAGAGCTGAATTTGGTAAAAGATTTTCGCGATCTGTTCGGCAATATTCTACCTAAATATCAAAAATACCCATGCATAATAACTGCAAGGTTGACACTGAAGTCACATTTGAATAACTCCGAAATTTAATACAGGTGAAAGTTCAACTCATTTGAAAATTATTTTCACTTCACCCTCACAAACATTGCACAACCATATTGTCGCTGAAAGAGTCACACCATATTTATTATATACCAGGTGAACAACTAAGAAAGACTGCCGGCCATATCTCAGCAACGAATAATGATACAAGTTTGAGATAGAATAAATCTAATGTGTGTAATAGAGAAACTAAATGTCAGTAGACCAACGAAAACCTCAACAAAATAGCTTTTCACCAACGGATGATATTATCTATCAAAGTTGGAAGAATGATAGATATGACAGCCGTTCTTAGTTGTTTGTTTTTCTGAATGAATAGTGTCATTATTATTTGTAGAAGGGAGGATCATAATGACGTGAGTTTGAGACGAAAATTCATTCATGTATACCTAGAATCCAGCTGAAATAGATCTGCTGGAATAATTCAAGATATTCTAGTGAATTATTAGGTTTTCAAAATCTAAAAAGGATTCTCTTCGGCTGGGCCGACACATGCCCAACTAAATTTTGCTATCAGTAAAGTTCATGATAGAAGCCTAAATATATATAAGAATCTTATGTTTCTGCATATTTTGTTTCGGATATCCAGGATGAATTCATTATCCCTATGTTTGTTGTTCGAATTTTTGTGACAGTCATTGGAAGTTGTGAGGGGTGAATTCAATATGGACCGTGAAACTTCCTTTCTATTCGAATTTTTGTGACAAGTATTGGAAGTTGTGAGGGGCGATTCAATATGGACCGTTGATCCTGGTTAGATTTATCATTAAAAACAAGGTTTGAATTGGATTATGTTTCAAAAATAGAAGTTTTTTTGTATTTATTTAGTAATCACGAAAAATTACGAAATTGGCCAGACCTATTATAAAATTGTGCTTTTCGAATCTGACCCTTTCACCTAATTTTGTGGTTGCATCTTCTAATTAGGCATTCGAATATAGCTGTTTAATTGTTCATCCAATTGGTCAATAGTGAATTTGAAGATTTCTGCATGTATTTTGAATTGATTGAATTGATTGTTTTTATGATTTTGATGCTTTAAATTTTTTAGTGATGTATATCTGTCATCGAAGGATCGCCAAATTCTAGATTGGCATTTTGCCAACTTGGAATTCGCCAATGCAACACCGCTCTCCAACTTGTCTCTGAAGCACTGGGACCAGGACGACGATTTCGAGTTTACCGGGAATCATTTAACAGGTAAATAACCGATGAATATTATTATAATTAGCAATTGGTAAATGATTCAATGAAAGGGGCACACTCATTTAAATTTTGAGTCGTTCAAGATGAAATTTTTGAAGACACAAATCCGTCAAATTTCTCAACTGTTGATGATATTTTGTTTATTGAGTCACTTCTGGTTTCCACTGAAGGGACCTCAACTGTTGATTGGTCAAATTTGACAGGTTGAATGTTGTAAAATATTTTTTCTTCATCCTTATGGTGAAATTTTGAAAATAACATATGTGATAAATTATAGTCCGGATAATCCCAATACCTATATTCTATTGATGATATAACTCAACTAACATCCAATTATCATCAATCTACATCCATAGTGATATGTTTATACAGAGTTGTATATTGTACAAATCCCCTCACTTCAAGAAATCATCACTTGTGATGATACTGTCTTATATTCAAGACATGGTCTGATACTTCTCTTGAATCATCGTTAAAAAATTTACATAACGCCAGAACTCCATAGATATTTTTTGTTTGGGTAATTTCTAAAGGACCTCTAGTAACAAACTCTTTTCCAACACGTTGATTCTTCGTTCGTCTTGGTGGTGACAATGTACGGCTCTTGTTTGTCCTTTCTTAAATCCTTCTTTCATATTTCAATTGCTATTCGTGATTTTTCAACTCGTCGCTCATTTCAAACTGATCCTAGCTTTTTATCCGCTTGGAGTACTGTTGTTCTCCCGTATAATTTAAAGTTTGGTGAACAACCCGAGTATTCGTTATGTGAATAATTGTGATGATTAACAGCTCCCTCTAGACAATTGTTCCAGCTACCTGTATAATCTGGATTTTTCATCGCTTGAAGCGCACGAAAGGGAATCCCTATAATGTTCGAAGAACATCGTGCATACCTAGGGAGGATAGAGCAAGTAGGTAGGTTTTGTTTTTTTTTGAATCTGCAAATTATACCTCCTTGGGAATACTTCCTTAGGCAATGAATTCTGACTGATCTTTCTACCAATCCATTTCCGCTTGGATGATATGGAGTCGTATGAATCAATTTTATACCTTCAGATACTGCCCTTTCTTTGAATTCTCCTGAGATCGAAGATCGTCGACAATCTCACAATATATTTTATTTTGTCTGAAAGGAAATCCACTGAAATATTTTCTCAATGTTGTGTTTTGTGGTGTCTATGATGCATTTTTACATTCAATGCAAAACTGTCATGAGTGTTTATTGTAATCTGTCACATCATATGTCACGAGTGTAGTTGATTTGTCGATTGTCTTGATTGATTGATACACGTTACAGATTGTTAAGTTAAAAAAGGTTAAAAATAAAATCCAGCATACAAAAGGTCATCATGATTGCATTTTTATTTCTAAAGCCAAGTCCAGATATTACAAAAGGTTATGGGCCCAGATATGAGTATAACTAGGAGGAATTAAAAGTGGCTTGGCTGGAAATCAGTTTTTCACGTTACGGGAGTACACTCTGGAAGTAACGGGCAGCAGGTACAGGAGGTCAAACTGGAAGTTCCTGGAAGCAACGGGCAGCAGGTACAGGAGGTCAAACTCTGGAAGTTCCTGGAAGCATGGCAATGCAGAATTCACTGGCAGTGACCCTGAAACCATTTGTTGGAAAAAAATTGCATATTGGGAATTTCGTTTGAAGTTGATTTTGGAACAGAATGAATCACTGGAAGTACTAGAAGAAAATCCTCCAACTGGGGTAGAAGAACAAGCTATGTTTAGGAAGAAAGATATTAAAGCTAAAAATATACTTGTACAGTGTCTAGCAGATAATGTGTTGGAAACTGTGAAAGACAAGGAAACTGCAGAGGATATGTATGAGACACTGAGAAGCACATACACAAAGAAGGGATTATCAATACAAGTAGACTTGCAGAAGAAATTATGAAATGATTACTGATGGTTGTTTAAGTAACTTCATAGTAGAATTTGAAAAAACAGTATCAGATCTGAAAGCTAGTGGAGGTAAGCTGGAAGAACCAGAAATTATATGTCAGTTGTTGGCAGCAATGCTTGACAGTTATCAAGCATTGCTGATGTTATGTTCAGCACAAATCCAAAAGATGTGAATGTACAGTTTGTGAAAAGTAAATTATTGCAAGAAGAAATGAGATAAGCAAGCAAAATTGTTCAAGAAAACAATTCAGTTGCCTTTACCAGTACTCATAAAGGACGAAGTAGCTATAGAGGATGAGGTTGCTATTATGGAAGAGGTAGTTTACAAATGTGGCAAACCAGGACATAAATGTAATGAGTGTAGAGAAAGCTCAAATGTAGCAGACTGTGAGAAAACGGATAGTGAAGTCTCTGGAAAAAAAATGCATTCATTGCTGATGAAACTGAACTGCCCCTAGCAACTTGTGAAAGTGTTTTTTCTAATATTGTCAACACCACTCTATCTACCACTGATAGATATATGTTGTTATTTATTGTTGACTCTGGAGCAACAAACCACTTAGTGAACAAACAAGCTAGTGCCTTTTGACTGAAATACAGTCAGTAGATTATACCATTAATGTTGTTAAGAAGGGTTCTGCAATCAAAGTTTTCAAGAGTGTAAATTTACATGTAGAAGAAAATGAATGTGGAAGAAAATTCAAGCTGAAAAATGTACTTCAAAGTGATTATTTAGAATACAATCTATTGTCAGTAAAATGAATTGAAAATGAAGGATTCTAGATTAAATTTGAGGATGGGAAAGTGAAAATATGTACAAAAGACAATAAATAACAAGACATTTTTGGAAGGTGTTTTGAGAGGAAATTTGTATGTTATTTCTCCCAGAACTAGATTTTATAGCGCAAATCTTGTTGATTATCAGGAATTGATGCATAGAAGAATGGGACATTCATCCAAGTACAAAATGAAAGTTTTTGGTCGTATATCATGTGTGCATATACCAAAACAGAATCGTATTGGAGAATTAGATCCTCGAAAAGAAAATAATTTTCATTGGTTACTGTAATGATGGATATAAATTATATAAAATAAATGAAAATACTGTGATTTTTTCTAGATCTGTAATTTGTGATGAACACAAAAATGTCTTGAATAAATAAATTGACTTAATTAGAACTGTAGAGAAAGCAGACAATGTAAAAGATGAAGTGGAAAATGTAGAGAAGGAAAATAACTCAAATCCTGAAATGTCTGATGATGAAGGGCCTGAAACTTTCACTCGTAAAAGTGAAAGAAATAGGAGAGTACCAAGGCATCTACTTGATTATGATTTAAATAGTGATATGGAACTAATGACCGCCTTGCCAGCTGGTCATTTGCCTCAAAAAATTCCAAAAAATTATAATGGAGCTATAAACATGCAAAATGGTTGGGAACTTACAATTAATGAGGAACTACAATCACTGGAAGAGAATAACACCTGGAAAATGATTTTACCACCCTCAGATGTGACAAATATTGACTTCAAGAGGGTGTTCTGTGAGAAGATGGTAGATGGGAAGCTGATGAAGAAGGCTAGGTTGGCAGCCAGAGGCTATCAACAACTATCATTAGAAGAGGAAGAATATGCACTTGTAGCCAGGATGGTGACACTTCGAGAAAGATCTAACTATTCACCAGCTAGATGTTGGATCATCATTCCTAAAAAGTAACATAAAGGAGGTAGTATATATGTATCCACCAGATGGCCTTTTAAGATACACATCAGGACAGGTATGTGAACTGAAAAAGCCACTTTACGGGCTTAGAAAGAGTCGTTGTTCGTTGACAAGTTGATCCATGTCTATATTATACAGAATGTATATTTTTCCGTAGATGATATACTTATTTTGTCAAGGTCAGTTGATGAAGTGATTCAAATATAAACTAAGCTTTCAATGAAATAAGAAATCAGAGATTTGAGCAACTAAAATGGCCGAATAAGGTTTTTAGGAATTGAAATAGAAAAAAAAATTTATCACAAGTTTCAACACATTTTACCATTTTGATCAATTGTTTACTGTAAAGTTACCTATACAAGCTAATTTGAATTTGAAGAAAGGTGATTCTAATGCAAATTTCAATGTTCCTTATTAAGAACTAATTGGCTCATTGGCTCATGTATTTAATGTTAGGTACAAAGCCTGATCTATGTTATGTAGTATGTTATTTTAGTAGATATCCAAATTGTTTCGCAATCAATCATTGGAATTATTTAAAAAATGTTCTTAAATATCTGAAAGGCAGTGAAAACCTAGGCTCAACTTATTATAAGAATTCTGATCCTAAGATAAACATATGCTTATGTAGACTCAGATTATGCTGGCGATTGCAATGATAGGAAACGAACAACTGGATTTCTTTTGAAAGTGAACACCAATCTGTATTTTGGAATTCCAGAAAACAGAATGTTTTTGTTTTATCGAGCTGTGAAGCTGAGTATGCAGCCTTAGCTTCTTGCACAACAGAATGTTTATTTTTAGGACAGCTACAAACAGATTTGATCAATAAAAATGTATATCCTTTTAAAATATATGAGGATAATCGATCTACAATAAAAATCGCATAAAATTATGAAACGAAGAGATCAAAACATATTGATGTTAAATTTCATTTTATAAAAGATTTGGTCAAAACGAATAAAATTTAAATTGAATATATTCGTACTAGTGAACAAATTGCTAATATTTTTACTAAGGCTTTGAATGTCAACAAATTTTCTTCATTTCGAAAATCTATCAATATGATTTAAAATATAAGGTATATTTGATTGTTATATAATTTATTCGTTTCATTTCATTTCATGCTCAATTTCATGTAACTTGTTTGAAATGTATGTACTGAAGATGATTTATTTTTATTTTTTATTATTTTTGTAGAGTGCAATCTAATGTAGAATTGAGAGAGGATGTTGTGTTTTATGATATCTATGATCAATGTTATTGAATTCGCTCATTGACACCATTATTTGTTCTGTAGAAGCATTATCTGTTCCAATTCCACTCAGGTTTTCTATATCCAGATCGAATTCTGAGAGGAGATTTTGTATAGCTACTGTTATGTTTCTAGCTGTGTTATCATCTACAGTGTGTCCCACTTACCATGCTCACCATGGGTATCTCTTTAACGGTGAGAGTTACGAGGTCGGTTAGATGACACCAAATGTGGAGTTTGTCAAGGCCAACTATAATGTGAAAAAATATTTTGATAAAATCTATTCGTTTTTGTTTTATACGCAAAAAACAGATTTTGATCATTTTCATGTCTCCTCCGTAACTTCTTTATTTATGAAAATATTCAAATAGGAATTTCACATTCTCATGGCAGTTTTTCAAAGTGATTTCGAAAAAATTTTGAAATTTATACCAACTCTTCTAGAATTTGAGATATCAGCACCAACTTTAGTTTTTTAAATGTAGGTCATAGCTCACTATGACTTAGTTACAATCAACTTTTTTTTCTCTTACAGATGATATGTCGCAGTAATAGTTTTGTGTTGATAACAACGGAGTAATCGTCATTTATACAAAAACAAAAAAATTTTTGGAAGCCGCCATCTTGAATTTATAAGGTTCAACAAAAAAATCATGATCTCCGACCTCAAAAACCCCCACTTACTGATTTTGAATGGAATCGGACCAAATCTTGTTCGCCATCTTGGAGCAGCCATTTTTTTTATTTCAACAAAAATTTCATAATTTATTGTCATCGAAATTATGAACACCTGGCAAATTTTGTTAATCGGAGTTATGGAATTTTTCTATCTAATAGCAATGCCTAAAACTTTTTGTACTGTGATGTCTGTGGATTCATTGACCAATAAGCTATAAGAACTGGTATCAATATCTCCTTTTAAAATTTTCTGAAAATGTGGTCCAATCACATGAATAATTAAACTGGAACACTTGGTTCTGTGCACTGTAATGGTTTCTCCTGGATCACATTTGAAACTATTGTCAAGATCACTCAAATGTTCAATAGCACGAATAGAGTATGAACAGCTGAATATAATCATAATTGAGACTCTTTCTGTTTTGAAGATACTTTTCCAACTGGTTCGAAATTTATTCGTTGTTGATTACTTTTTCCTGCAAAGGGTTGATCTGCAATCTTGGGTTTCTTTCTTTTCACATGTTTCTGTAAATCACGAATTTTTGCTTCCAGAACTGTTGCAATATTTACAGAATACCTTTGTCTAATCTGAAGTACAGGGTTGCAGATGTCCTCGAAAAATCGTAACTTTTTCCCACTGTGCTCTGTATTTCTGTGTACATTATGGAAACACTAAAATTATAGAGATAAGTGTAGATATGAAAAAAAAAACCATATACCACTAAAAGAAGTGAAACAACTCATTTTCATCACAATCTAAAATTACTAATGCAATTTTTATTCCGTATTTTATTTTTATATCTGTCTGCTGTTTTTATCCAGTAGCTCATTATGAATTTTTAACATTTCTTGATTATTATAACTCATTTTCTTATTTAACACCATACAATTTGACAGTCGATAGAACAAGACAGTTGAGAGATCACTTCGACCCCAAAGGCACCAAAGTTCACAAATGATGAAAACAAACCCTGTAATTTGTCATTCTCTTCTCTGTTTATCTCTTCTCCTCTGATAGTGTCATCACAAAATCATGTGGTCAAAAGTCTCCATAAAAATCGAAGACTATGTTGAAAACGCTAGAATTCGGACACGTCGCAAATCAAGTTTGAATGTCGCATTGACGTACCCTAAACACTCTAGATTTAGCGACAAAACCACTAATATGGCAACACTGCTGTCACTACCCTTGACAATAGTGGCATAGACATACGCTATGAATGATGTTCATTCAAAAATGACAAGTCAGTGTTGCTAACTCCATTGATAGAAAATCTCTAACAGTTGTTTGTTTCTTTGTTTGTGAGCACATCTAGAGTTTTGCTAAATTTAAAAATAGTCTACTGAGAGCTTAGAACATATTATTTTGACTAACAAATTTGGCAATGATGTATTATTGGCAAAACTTGAAAACTTATTTTCTTTAGGTGTCTGAAATGAATCATTTGCAGACGCAGGGTATAACATGAAGTTATACTCATGTTGTAGCCATCTAGTGGCACAGCTCTGAGGAAGGATCCAGAGGTCGCGACACACACTGTATGGCGCTGCCATCTATAGTCACACGTACAGACCCCTACGTCTATATGTTACAGAGTGGTACTACAAGTAAACCACTCTGCTGACAAATGGCCCTACCTTACTTACTTGAGTGGAATTTTTCACCACCTATTCACCACCTATTCAACTGTCATCGGTATTTCATTAATATGGCAACCTCATTCCACTATAGCACTGAATATAACGGGCGCACTGTATATAAACCCTATATATTTTCGAATTCAGCCTTTGATGAAGATTCAAA